CTTAAAATGTATCATCTAATAAATCATGCATAATTAAATCATCAATTACATAATGCAATTAATATATTATTGTGGCACCATAGGATAGGCACTCGACCTCAAGGTCAGTTTGAACCACAAGGTCAGTGGTTCAAACTCACCAGCTGCTCCTGGGAAATCCGATACAGGGTCACTATGAGTCAGAACTGACTCGATGGCACTGAACAACATCTTAATACAGATTTCATTGACTATGCAAACCACTATTCTCAGATTCTCTTATTTTCAGATTCTGTATTTGAAAATTCACCTACTAGATAAAATTTATGTCTAACCCCAACATCAATACTCATGCTTTTCAGCAACAAAATTAACATGAAAACTGGCATCCTTATTTTTAATACAAATAATGAAAAGACAAAAGTTAACACACAAAAAAGTGCGCTCTCCATTGGGAAAGTCTGCACTAGTAAATAACCAGGTTCCAGAGAGAAAGAAAGAAAAGCATGTCCTTCAGAAGAATTCCGTTCAAACATGTATCTGTATTGCTGACTACAGATTCTGAAGTTTTGTTGTTTTTATCTACTCCATGGCCTTCATCTCAAGGAAAGGATGGAACTTAATCCTCCTGTTCTGTTAGGTAAACACTGGATTTTGCCTTACTTAATAAGAATGGTCACTTTCCACTAGATGGCATTACAGTCACATGATTAGGGAAGGAGGCCTCTCACAAGAGGGCAATCAATACACGAAACCACCACATCCTAATTCTTAAGATGGTGGGCAGTTCCGACTCTTAGCGACCCTATATGGGGTTTCCACCGCTGTAAATAGTTACAGGAGCAGAAAGTTTCATCCGTCTCCCACGGAGCTGCTGGTAGATTTGAACTACTGACCTTGAGGCTAACAGCCCAGCTCACAATCTTCCCCAACCCCACACCCAGTTCTTGGAGTTTGCTGTTTGTGTGTTTGCTGCTGTGATGAAAATAGACGTTCACTGGAAATCAGAGTTGGAGAGAAGGAGGGCGCTGTGGGTTAATGTGCTGGGCCGCAAGGTCGACTTGATTCACCAGGTCGGTGGTTCAAGCTCACCAGTCACTCCTCGGAAACCCTATACAGGGTCGCTATGAGTCGGAACCGACTCGACAGCACTTAACAATGACAACAATAACCTGCCTGTCTTGAGCCAGGTGATGTGTTAGTGCTTTGTGTTCATTAGCTTACTGAATCTTGATGGGAAGGGAAGGCCCTATGAGCTAGGCATTGTATCAGTGACATGCTAACGCCGCCAAGATCCAAACCCAAAATCTGTTGTCTTCAAGTTGGACTGAGTAGAAGTGCACCCCTGAACTCCTGAGGCTGTGAACCGTTAGGGAAGCAGACGGCCTCGACTTAAAGCCACCAATATCTGTGAACCACACGTACCCACTCTTACCAGAATCTCTTCCCCTAAAATCTTACAGGTAGAACTGGGCAGACCAGGATTCAAAGCTGAGTCAGTCTGTCTCTGCAGGGCAGTCTCTGAAACCCCAGTCTTCATTGGCAAAGCCAGTCACCTTCGGTATCCCTCCACTTACTATCTGAGAGTGTCTGCACAGATATAAAACAACAAACGCTGCCATCCAATTAAGAAAATCTTTTGGTAATCCCAAAGGTGGCCATAACGTCTAACATTCCAGTAACCCCATTATTGGTTCCATCACACCTATCTATTAAATGAATACATTAGAGAAAATAATATCGTACAGTTAAATCACCAATTACATTTCCCAATTTCTTAACTTCTCAAAAAAATTCAAGGCTTTAAACAAATGGAATGAAATGAATGAACTCAATTTTAAGGCAAAACTGTAACATATTAGCACACAAGAGAAAGCAATTATTTCAAGTGACTTTATAACATAGACCTTGGACTATAGCCTGCTACACCCCACATTTCAATTTCTTAAAGTCATTTTGTCAGGGAACATTGACAACGTCTGGAGACATATCTGTTTGTCATAATAGAAAGCGGGAGGTGATACTGACATCCACGCAGCTGACACAGGTATGCCATTCAAGATTCTACAGTGCACAGATCATCCAGCATTAGGGTCCAGGAAGAGACGTGGCGCTTTTATGATGGTCCATCCTCACGAAGCATCATCTTTGGAAACTTGACTCCTAATCAGAGTCCTGGTGTGGCACTGTAAGATAAGCACTGAACTGCAAATTTGAACCTCAGGTCTGCGCTTCAAACTCACCAGCCACTCCTTGGAAACCCTAGATAGAGTTACTGTGAGTTGGAACCGACTTTACGGCACATAACAACAATAATCAGAAATCCTTTCAAAATTCCAAAGGTGTGGAAACGTCTCAGACCCTTGGCCAGCTCACCAAGTATTGTTACCAAAGGACATGGCCACCACCATTTGAAGTCCAGGCAGTTCCAAACCAGGAGGACCCCAGGTGCTTCTGAATAGAACTGTGCTCCTTCGGGTTCCAGTGGTTGATTTTTCACATGTGATCACCAGACCTTTCTTCTGAGGTGGACTTGAACCTCCAACCTTTGAGTTAGCAGCACATTAGTGGTTTATACCAACCCCGTAGTAAAACCAAACCTCCTAGTGTGGTGCTGTAGGGTCAGTATTGGACTGTGAACCACAAGACCGGCGGTCGTTATGAGTTGGGACTGACTCCACCACGGTACTTAACAACAACACTAAAACCAAACCTAACTTGCTGCTATCAAATCAATTCTGAGTCTGAGTAAACCTACAGAACAGAGTAGAATTATACCCTAGGGTTTCAGATGCTAGAATCTTTATTGAAGCAGACAGTCTTTCATAATTCTCCCTTGGAGTGACTGGTGGGTTTGAACCCTTAACCTTGTAGTTGTTGTTGTTAAGTGCTATTGAGTTGATTCCAATCATAGTGACCCTGTATAGGGTTTCTGAGAAGCAGCAGGTGGGACTGAACTGCTGGCCTTGTGGTTCGCAGTTCAGTGCTGATTCTACCAATTCTACAAAGCCACACCCGGCGTCCAATGTAGTAGTTAGTCCTCCCCACCAATGTTTTACCCACGGCACCACCAGGGTTCCTATTATTATGGGTGTGGGTGTTTACATGCTCCGAACTAGCTGAAGAGAAGGAGCAGTTACCTGCCACCACCTTAGAGGGCAGCATGTGCTTACAACAGTGAGAACTCGGGCATTGTTAAGTGGAGGGGTAGGTGGCTTGGCACTCACTCTTTTTGAAGTAAAAGTAGACTGTCTGCACCTGAGGATTCAGTTGTTGTTGTTATGTGCCATCGAGTCGGTTCCGACCCATAGCGACCCTGTATAGGGTTTCCAAGGGTGTAAATCTTTACGGGAGTAGAAAGCCTCATCTTTCTCCCGCGGAGCAGCTGGTAGTTTCGAACCGCTGACCTTAAGGTTCACAGCCCGATTCGTAACCACTACGCTACCAGTCCTCAGAGTGATGAGCTGGAGGCAGCAGCATCCCGAGGATGCTTCAGATCCCCATAACCAACCTTTTGAAGATAATGTTACGTCTTTGGGGACAGGGCAAAGAGAAGGGATGGGCAGGCCTGAAGAGCCAACCTCCACCAAAAATCTCTCGTCTTTTCTTTCTGATCTTTGACTAGGAATCGCCTTTGATTCTCCCAGAGCTTCCAAAGGGCTGTTACTTGGGGAGGGGGGGTGCCCCCCCCCCCAGCAGTGACCACAAAGGAACTCTCACTTCCTGCTGTGCTGAGTTCAGATGCCCCACAAACGGGTTGTTTTACATAAAATTTGTACTTACAAGCTAAAGGGAGGTCTGCAGGTCAGCGTGGATTCAAATGCCCTGGGCTTTTTTCCCAAGGTACCTCAGCTTCCTACAGTCAACCTTTCTGCTGGAAGCAGACGCTACCATCCCTTTTTAAAAAACAATCCCCTCTAATCCCAGCCGTTTGTCTCTCAGACCCTTCACTTCCTAAAAGGGGATGGGGGCTTTTGTTTCTTAAATGAGCTGAAAAGTTGTAAATGAGTTGTGTTCCTTTGAGAAGTCGCAGATCTAGGGAATAAGGGGAGTGAGTGCCCGGGAAAGCGTGGTTTCCACCAGATTGGCTCTGACACCAAGTGCCAAGACTTTTGGTGGGAAAGAATCCCTCTCTGTGACTTTATTATGGAGTGGAATTGTCGCTTCTCAACGCAAAACCTGGGGGCCCAAACTCGGTACCTGGGAGGGCCTTCCTTTTCCTGGTATCCCAGTCTCCCGCGGGCGGCAGGTGGGCCTTGGCCTGCAACATCGCTCGGCCTGAAATCTGGGGGCCAGAGAACCGGGGACCAAGAGCCGCTGGTGTCTAGCCCCCGCAGACAATGCTGCTCCCCTTGGCTCTCAGGACACGCCAGGGAGGGTTTCGGCCATCCTTCACACTGGGTGCCAGAGGCCACCAGGGGACTGGCTAGGCCAGGCTTGTAGGAAGCAAAGGTTGTCGGGTGCTGCAGGGCGACTCCGGCTTTCAGCATTGTGACTCTCCCCGGTTCTGGGAGGCCTCTACGTGAACGCCAGCCGGCCACCTACGGCACTGAACTCTCAGGAACTCTGGGCCACTCCAGAGTCACCCTAGGCACCCAGCTCGACGGGTCCCTGCGCGTCGTGTCCTCCGCGAATGGCGGCCGGAATCCTTTAGCCTCCCAGGGCAGCCCCAGGCCCGGGACACCCAGGGTTCTATCGCGACCCTTGGCCATACGACAGAGACACTGGGCGAGATGAGACGCAGGGACACGAGTGGGGCTGGGATTCCCAGTTGTAACCATGGGGGACCTGGAGGCGACGCGGTGCCATCCCAGGGCAGTCCTGAGCTGTGGAACTCAGAGGCCCGCCAGACCTGGCCGTCCGTGCGGGGCGGGATGGGAAGGGGCGGGGAGATGGTCGGGGCGGGGATCTCTAGTACCCCGGGCGCAGCCCCCCGACGGCATTTAAAGGGCGCAGGGAGGCTGCACCTACAGCTTCTGGAGGCCTAACTCGATGGGGCGCCCCTGAGCTTGGGGAGGGACATGGCCGCGTCGTGCGATGGCCTTGGCACGGGCCCAGCCCGGCGCCCCGCGTCCCCAGCGGGATCTGGAGGCAACGGGCCGCGCCTGTGGGCACCGGCGCCCGCACCCTACGCGCCAGGCACCGCGTCACCCTCCGCGGCCCCGAGCCAGCTTCTGGGCTCTGCGGGCGGCCTCGGGGCTGGGGACCTGACCTGGCTGGGTCTCCCCGGGCAGCCCGAGCTGCTGAGGCTGGTACGGCCGCCCTACTCGTACTCTGCGCTCATCGCAATGGCTATCCAGAGCGCGCCGCTGCGGAGGCTGACGCTCAGCCAGATTTACCAGTACGTGGCCGCCAATTTTCCCTTCTACAGGCGCTGCCGGGCCGGCTGGCAGAACTCCATCCGACACAACCTGTCTCTCAACGACTGTTTCAAGAAGGTGCCCCGTAGCGAGAATGACCCAGGTAAGCTCGCACTGGGTGCCCCGGCGTTCGGGGGGCCCCAGGCAGGGGTGATCCTGGACAGCTTACCCTCACTGTCCCCTTGGAAACACTAAGACAGGGGTGGGTGGATGGGAGACTGATTTGCCAGCAGTATCCGCCTCTGAGACAAAAGGAGCGGCTCCCAGGAGGACGGCCGGCGCAGGAGAGCGCACAGCTGGGTGACCTTGGTGGGGGACTTCAGTTCTCCTTAGCTGTAAACTGGGTAAGAGCTCACCAACCCCAGGACTCGCAGAACAATGAGATGCCCCTTTGGGAAGTGCTGGGGCCTATGGGGCACAGTGGGTTAGCTGAAAGGTGAAGGGTTGAAACCCACCAGCTGCTCCCCTGGAGAAAGATGAGGTCCAGTCCTGGCACCTCTGTGGAACTGTTGTATTCTGTCCTTTAAGGTCGTCATAAGTCAGAATCAACTCGATGGCAGTGGGTTTGGTTTTTGATTTGGGGCCTGCATGGAGAGAGGCAGGATTCTCAAAAAGTTTGGCTGGCAGAGTGGTAGGTCGAATCCAGATAGTTCTGCGCCCCGCAGGCCCATGGTCCCTGGAGTTCAGCGAGACGCCACACTTTCTGGTATCGCCTTTCCTGGACTTTTGGGGTGGTTCCGACTCACCCAGCCTGGCTTCGGGGCCTTGTCGGGTACCGAGTGCCACCTCAACTCTGGGTGAGAATGAGGGGTCATGGCGATCCATCGGGAGGGGCCGCTGGAGGCGTCTTGTTGTTGTTGGTTCAGTCCCCATGCTCAAACTTCGTCCTTCGGCCCCCCCCATTTCTGCCTTCCAGGTAAAGGCAATTACTGGACCCTGGACCCCAACTGCGAGAAGATGTTTGACAATGGGAACTTCCGAAGGAAGAGGAAAAGGCGAGGGGAGGCGCGCACAGCCGTGGGGCCCGGGAACCAGGAGAGTGGCCAGGCTCTGTCTCTGTCCCCAGTGCACGGCGCCTCCCCTGGCCCGCCCACCACACCATCTCCTCCCGCTCTGGAGCCCACCAGCTTCTCTGGCTTTGCCTCTGCCATGGGCGTGCTGGCGGGCGGCCTCAGTGCCTTCCCTGGGACTCTGGCAAGTGACTTGGCTTTCGGTCGGCCCACGACAGTTGCCGCCCGCGGTCCCCAAACCTCCAGCACTCTGCCTGGCTTTGCCCCTGGCCACCAGACAGCGGTCACCGGCTTCCGGGTCAGTAACTTCATCTATAGCCAGGAGGGGACCGAAGTTTGAAGAGACGCCTGGCAGTTGCCAGAGTGCTGCGTCAGGTGTTGCTAAGTGTGGGCCCTGTCCCTACGCGGTGACCACTCAGGAGGAACTGCAAGAGACTGAGTCCTTCCTGTGCCCCCTGGTGTACCGCTGTGTCTGCACGCGGCTCCCAGGCGACTCCAGATGAACGAGTCTATGTTCCTGATCCAACTCCCGGCCTGATCCACCTCAGCCTTGAATCAAGGACCCACTGACCCTGACCTCTTTCCTTCTGTACCCTGAAAGGCTACCAGCCCTCCATCGCCTGCTTCTTTGTACTGCTGGTGGCCTCCAAGCTGTGCCTAGAAGACAGCCTGGACCCAGGGCTGTGACTTACCCCTCCGCCCAATGGGCCAGGAGCTTGGCTTGAGGTCCTGGAGGGGGAGGTGGGAGCACAGGGCAAGGGCAGTGGGTGCAGGACCCATGCCCCCTCTCTGTGAAGTGGGGTGTGTGAGAGGGTGTCTGGACTGTCTGGATGTGGTCGTGTATAAGGGAGACTTTCAAATGGCTAATACTGCTAGGAGGAAAGAGGGCTGCATCATACAGCAAAGTCTCTGGTGGTCCCAGCTCCATCACCTGTCACTCAGCACCCAGCCTCAAGAGCCTGACTTTTCACCAGATGCCCCCCCAGTGGCCCTAACCGTCAGTGCCATGCGGGCACCTGGGCCCCTATACACACACACACACACACACGTTCACACACATACACACACATATATATACACACATACACACACATTCACACACACACATATATAACACACATACACACACACACACACACACACACACACTCGCCTCCCATCCCTTTTTGGGCAGAATTGCTCCTTGGTGCAGAGTCCCAGAGCAGTGCCTTGATGGTAAGTTTGGGCTGCAATGGCCAAGTAGGGCCTTGGAGTGGCGCTGTAGGATAAGCACTGGACTACTTACTAACCTCAATGTCAGCAGTTCAAACCCATCAGTTGCCCAGAAACCCTATACAGAGTCACTATGAGTTGGAATTGACTCTATGGCCATGAATTTGAGTTTTTTGGGCAAGTGGCCATGCAGCTCTCAGCTCCTTTTCCAAAAACTTGCTCAGCCCCACTGCATTGGGCCACTAGTTCTGTTTGGGAGCTCAAGACCTTGCTTAACCAAACCTGCAACTAACCCATAATCATGCTTGGGGAACACCACACACACATACACATAGACTAGACAATTAAAGAAGTCCAGCAGAGGGAAAAGAGATCCTTAGCTTGTAAATAAATAAAACAATTTTATCCCTTGAGTCCATTTTAATAGAACAAAACGTTAAAAATGAACACAAGCATGTGGCACTGGAATGTGCACGCTGTCTTTTAAATGCTGAGAGTTCCACTCTTACTGGGATCTCTGCTTTCAACTGAATCTTTCAGAAAGCTTGGAGAGAACGCATTCTTTGAAGAGGATGAGTTTCACAGCAGCAGGGAAATCGAATGTGTGTTATCGTTGTATAATCCTTGGAGCATTCTGAAAATATAGTGTCAGAGACAGACATAAACACACTGCATCACAGTGCACGGCTGCAGGAAAGGAGTTGGGAAGTGGCTGTTGGTTTCTTTCCTTCCAACAATGGTTTTCCTGTGAAAATTGAGGCAAAACTTTTGACAAGATTTTTCAGCTTTTGCTTTGCTTGACTAAAAATTGATTTTTTGGTGTTTCAAAGTTGTTCATCCATTCAAAACAAGCTTTTCTCTGCTAAGTGGGTAATGGTATAATCAAATAGATGCAATCCAGTCATGCAAAGTATTAGATAGTTCCTGGGGTCAGATGCCAAACAGGGTAACATTCCAAGTATCTGGATATCTGTGTTACAGCAAGGCATGGGTGAGTGGGCAGGGAGGGGGCACAGTCAGCTTCAAAGTCATCTCTCTCTCTTCTCAGAATAGTCTTCTTCCAGAGATAAGAAACAATGTGCTGAAATCGAAACAAACATGAACCCCAGAAACAAACAATAACTCTGGTCACTGGCAAGCCAACACTGACCCACAGGGCATGTCTACAGGGCTGATTTTTTGGAAGTAGATTGCCAGACCTTTTCTCTGAGGTGCCTCTGGGTGGACTTGAGCCTTCAACCTCTCAGCAGCAGAGTGTTTAGCTGTTTGCGTCACCTAGGGCCTCCAAACAGAACAAAGCAACTTGTAATTGGTTTATAACGAAACACTTTCTCTCTCTGGCCAAGACTTGGCCAGCTTGACAGGAGCCCCAAAAGCAGGCTGCAGTTTGGCAGTCAAGAACCATGCTTGCTGGTCAGACCAGGACAAGGCTGAAAACAGGTCAGGGGGAACTCTGGCCCCAGGGTTTGGAGCCCCATGGGACACTCAAGCTCGTCTGTCTTCTACTCTCTGTCCCTTTGTTATTTTACCATCTTGAAACCAATAGAAAATTCCACTTTCTTTGGATTACACCACGTGCCTTCAATGAAGGTGTGTTTTGCCTGGTGTGCTGGCCTGGGTTGGGTGTCATGGGCATTCTCACTGCTTACTGGGAATCTCCAAGTCTGGACTGGAAAGGTTCAGATGTGAGCTTCAAAGTGTGTTGACACTGAGGGAGGAAGGTGTGCCCATGAAGGATGCCCTGAATGGCGTATGTCAGAGCGGCGGGGTTTTCAGCTGGGTGAAATGACACTGAACTGTAATGTCCGCTGAGAGTGCAGTTCAGCAGGTGAGGAGAAATTCCTGAGCAAAGAATGGTTCATAGTGAGACCCAAAATGTTTGAAAAAGTGTTTGTGAAAGTGTAGCCATAAAGACAGAACCTGTGTAAGCTTGAAACTTCACAGAACAGCAAGTATTTTTGACTAAAATGAGGGGGAAATGGTCAAAGACTGAAACCTGGTGAGACCTGGAAAAACAGAGGCAGCCCATCAGGTTCTGGCTCACACAGGTTTCACTGTATGAAGAGCTGGGATCAAGCAGAGCATCATGTGTTCAGGAGCACACCAGTAGTACCAGCATGAAACTTGTCATTTAAATGATGCCACACTTCAGCAGCACTTCAGACAAAGACAGAGTCAGCCAAGTGTCAGTCATTGAAAACTCTGTTGTCCACAATAATCCAATCCTGTTATTCCCGAGGCCATAGTGTCCCCATGAGTTGGAGGCAAAGTTAATAGCAGCAAACAACCCACAATATTGTCCTTATTTTTCAGAATTCTAAAAGGAGGAACAAACAGTGAGAGAGATCAAATGAGTATTATTTGATTATATATGCCTTATCTTTTCTTCCTGTCATATCCGAACTGAACTAAGTAAGTCCATCCCCCATGACACATCCATGGCTCATGCATACATGGAATAGTCTACAAAGAATTGTTGTTGTCGCTGTGGTTGTTAGGTGGCATTGTTGTCATTAGGTAGTTGTAGAATCCTATGTACACCAGAAGGAAACACTGCCTCATCCTGTACCACCCTCCCCATCATGTTGTATAAGAGCCACGGTCTCAATTCACATCATTAAAGATCTTTCTCTTTTTTGCTGGCCCTCTAACAAAAAAGAGGGGATAGGTTGCTGTTGTTGGTGCTGTGAGGTCAGTTCCAACTCGTAGTGACCCTCTGAACAAAACACTACCTGGTCCTCTGGCACTCTCGAAATCATCACTGGCTCTGATCCCATTGCGGTATCCACTGTGTCTTGGTGCAGAATGTATTTAAAGGTATGCCTGTTTTCCTTTCTCAAATGCTCAAGATGTGAGTTTATTTTTCATGTTTTGATTAAGCATGGTGGTGGTTAGTGGTGGTAGTGTGCCATGGAGTCAGTTCTGACTCATAATGACCCTGTATAGGCTTTCCGAGGCTGTAAATATTATGGGAGCAGAAACCCTCATCTTTCTCCCAAAGAGCGACTGGTAGTTTCGAACTGCTGACCTTGAGGTTAGCAGCCCAACTTGTAACCACTACACTACCTGAATATGGAGTATGTTTATTTATTATGAGCATAAAGTTTTGCATTTTAATAATACTGCTTTGGAATATTAATTTTCAACTTTGCATCTTAAATATCCCCTGCAATCAAATGACATTTTTCAATCAGGGAAACAACAGTACAACAAGTCTTGTGACCTGTTAGTGAAACCTGGAACAGTCATCCAACTTTGCAGATACAAAAGCTGAGTCAAGGAGCTTTGTGATCCCATGAGAAAGGCTAGAGAGGACACCTGACAGACATGCTATTTATGTGATCCGGGTTCTGGAATGTGCCACAACCACACAAATACAAGCACACACACACACACACACATCCTAGAGCCAGGGTCCTCAAGGGACAAGCTTTACACTATAGTGCTTTATAGCCAAAGACATGTTGTACGCCACTGAGTTGATTTTGACTTATAGTGGCTTATAGTATCATCCAATAATACTGTCAGATTTCAGGACTTGGATCCAGGTGGGAGAGTGCAATCGTGTGAGTCCCATAACTCCTCCTAATGAAAGTGACTATTCAACACACCTTTCTGAATGCCAACTGTGTACTGGGCTGTACAATGAACCCTGTGCAAAACAGTATCCCTGGGAACAAACTTCCAGGGGAATGGCGGAGAAGGACAGACAGCTCCATCCTAGATCATGATTATTTTGTTCCAGAAACACAAAGCCACAATCAACCTTTTCACTTGTAAACATACAGTTATCACACTGTGACACTTCACTGTGCTTTCCACACTCTGTGAACTCAGGCCATGCTGGTTTGGTGTGGCACTGTGGGTTAATGTGCCAGACTGCAAACCCATTTGAACTGCAAAGTTGGAGGTTCAAGCTCACCGACTGCTCCTCAGAAGCCCTATACAGGGTTTCTATGGGTAAGAATCAACTCAACAACACTTAACAACAACAACTTTATGCTGGTGTGGTGCTGTGGGTTAATGCTCTGGACTGCAAGGTTGGCTTGAACCACAAGGTCGGTGGTTCAAGCTTGCCAGCTGCTCCTTGGAAACCCTATACAACACTTAACAACAACAACAACTTTG